ATCTAAGATGTAGTAGCTCTAATAATACCATAAATAGAAGATCATTAGATAAGAAATATCGCGTAGGTATGAGCCCCTACTTCCAATTCCATCGTAAGTAAAGATTTAAAATCGGAGAAGACGTCAGATCTATTATTGCATGAAGCATGAGACTAGCACTTATGGAACAATGGACAAAATAAATGAACTAAATAACTCGTTTATTGTTCGAAACTGGGGATTTAATCAAGTTGAAGGCAGAAATATAAACGTCGAGCCAAGATTGGTACTATGAAAATGGGCCAAAAGATGCAATTAAAAGAAGAGTAATGCATTTTCTCTCTTATTAACTGACTTCTAAACTTTGCTTTTAATGAGTGAATTTAACTATTATAATGATTGTGTAAGAAATGACAATACGAAACATAAGTTTACCTACGCAACATGAAATCTCAACAATACGGAGAGCTTGAAGGCTTACTGCACAATTTTAACGATTGCGAATAGTGAATTAATGAAGCAACATTTAAGTAGCATGGATGCGGAAGGAAAGGATATTGCAGACTAAAATGCAATGAAGATCCAGATTATCAACTGAAATGCTATTGAATAACTTGATCTACCTGGCGCAATCATAGGGAATTAGAAAATCATAGAAGCCTTCATCAACCCTTCAGGATCTCCCTTTGTCTTGTCTCACAAGAGGTTTTGTCAGTCAGGATGGGCTGAGGCATTGACCTTCAGTTGGCCGAACCAGCACTGACAACGAAATTCTAAATAGTTTTTCATGTATCGTGGAAAGAAGTTAGCACTCCACGAGACAGTCACTGGTGCCAGTGGGTGACAGAGCAAATGCAAAGTCCCAGGCCAGCCAGAAAGGCTAGCAGTAAGAAGACCAAAAGAATAAACATGTACTTAACATTATTATCAATGATATCGCTTATTTTCAGTAGGAATATGATTCAAAACTTTGCTTATTCTTCATTAGGAGCTTGTTCATTCTAGTTAGGTGATTGTCCTCGATGAGAAAATCTCTTTAAAAGGAAAGAATAAGTAATATTCAATAGCAGTGGGGGGGGAAGATTGCGAAATTAAAATGTAATTCTTTTTAAGCATGCCAGGTTGACATTGCTCTCTTCTTGAATTGTTGTCGGGTTTGCGCTTTAAGCATACTGAATACTAAAAAGGCTGTTTTACGATATAATATGATTAAACTTAGATACCGACACATAATCGCCAAACTCACCCTGTTAATAGATTTAGTTTGACCAATGCAGGGTTGTTTAAGAAAAGATAATTACAATGTCAAAAAAGGATGTTTGTCGCTTCCTAACGTAATAATGTCCATCTCTTAGCCAAGAAACATGATGTCTATATGCCTCATTTATGACAAAAAAACACAAATTTTTTTAACCTATCGATGCATGGTTGAAAAGAAAGCAGAACGAGGGGTGAACCATTTAAAGCATCATTAGAGGCCACATAACAACGATTCTTTAGTATTTCATACCCTTAGATTTTATACTGTTTCAAAAGCAGACTAAACATGGCCTATTAAGTGGCTTCCCCAAAAGCTGAATGGAGGTTGATATGTGCCAAAAGCTTCTCCGGCACAACACTTTATCAAAAAGTTAGACAAATATGGTGGCAGAGGTCACACAGCATTGCTGTGATGATTTTTGCAAAATTCAACGGCCACCAACTTCGGCTGTTTTATGCATCTTATGCATCCAACTTTCTGAGCGAAACAAAAAGTACAAAGTAATAAATTTTAACGCTGTGACATGACTTTCCATTTAGAGGAAAAATTTGGTTGAAAGGAATTCGTGAAATGGTCTCACTTCACACCAAAGGATGATTTCCACGTAGCGACTAAGTCCTCGACTCACTGTCCTGTCACCGCGATGAGCCTGTACTGAGATTGCGTCTGTATCGCCGTGCCAAACAGGATTAGAGCAAGATTCCCTGCTTTAGGAAATAGCGTAGATTATACCAAACCAAGAGAAAATTTGGCCAAATTTCACCCTAATTAATTTGGTTGCCTACCTCAAACTTGCTATACATGCTTGCGGATGAGTACGATACTTAACAAACATGAAGTGGATTTGCTAGCAGCTGTTTCCTCACATAATTTAATTAACGTACGATCCTCTAATGTTGACACATATTTGAGTTTGTGCTTTTGCCCATTGTGTGTAGGAGCAATGTTTATGTCATGAGAAGTCTGATAATCCTAGCTAGACTCAAGGTTAATCCAACTTACTCCTTTTGATTAGTGGCTCTTCCTGTCTTCACTCTCCCTCTCTACATCTACAAATTGTTCTTACTCAA